TTTTACTAAAATAGATGGGCATGGCAAGATGAATAATCTTTGAATTTTAAGTCTCATGACCATTTAATTACATGCTCAGAACAACATTATGATTTTATAAACATTAACATCACAGTTTGAAATATTTTATAGCTTATTTAATCTCTCTCTTCTTAGTTAGGTTTTTAATTTTATGCCATTGTTGCTATTGCATTGCTGGTCTTGACACTCCATTTACTTTTCAAATGTTTTGGGATGACAGACATAAAAACTTATTGTTCTGTATGTTTCAGTTTGATCCCTATGCCTATTATCCATCACAATCAGAGTATGAACTACATACCGGTAAGTTTTTTCTTTCTTCTTGGCAAGTATTTGTAATATTCAGTGTTAGAAATTAAAGCTGGACCATCTGCCCGGGCTTAGAAGTTTTCCCACCCCACACTCGAGCCAGCTACTTTTCAAGATGGCTGAACTTTTGGCCCAGTAACTAATTTTCCTAAGAGGCAAACACTGATCATATTATAATATTTATCTTCTGAGCTGTCTACTTAATGTTTTTCTTTTAAAATATTGCCCTCTTTACGAGTTTAATAGATAGTTAGATTTAATATATGTCAATATTGTTGAAAGTTAAACTGGGAAAGATTATGTAACATTTTAAGGTTCTGTTACTTACACTTATGACAAGAATTATTATTTTGTTGTCCCCAGGCGATCCTCGTCAGGATTTGGAATACGAGAGGCAGTACCAGCAGTCCACCTACATTGTGCCTGAAGTGATCAAGAACTTCTTGGTCTACTTCCAGAAATGCGTGCATGAGCAGAACCTCTTTGAAATACAGAATGCTTATGAGAATGGGTACACAGAATGTGCTATTTTTATTAAGTCTTAGAATTTAACAGCTGGTTTAGATAAAGTTCTAAAGAGAGTTGTTTTAAGCAAAGCATGCATTTAAAGTGACAAAAAAAGTAGTTTAAAATAGGGTTTGACAAGAGGTGTTTATTTTCATTTTTGAAGGTCAGGGCCAAATTTTTCACGGTACTCGGAAGAAGGTGAATCTTATCTCAACAGTACACTCTTGCTCTTTTTTTAGGTGAAACCCATAAAGTTAACTTTTTTTTTTCTTTTACGATTTCATATTACTTTATAATGTTTTTCAATCCAGTTTCAACAAGCTAACTGACAGGTTCTTCAAGAACTCGGCCTGGCCAGAGGCAGAGATTATAGCCCCTGTGGTTGGAGACGACCCTGTCTTCCTGATCTTATACAGAGAGTTATACTACAGACACATATATGCCAGAGTTGCAGTAAGTTTCTGTGTGTTATATCTTTTATGTTTTATTTCAATAAATAATGCAGTAATTGAAAATGTCCAGAGTGTATTTTTCTTTCTTTTAAGAAATGAACAACAGAAATAAAGCTCAGTTAAGTATGCCAAGGAAGAAATAACTATGGCATTGAGTGTACTTCAGAAAAAAAAAATTGTCCGTATTTGATGAGATCAGAGAGAGGGTACTTAAAAAAGTTTAACAAATGAGAGATAGATAGATAGATAGATAGATCAAATTTTGTATATTTCAAAGTAAATATTGTCCCTGTGGTATTAACTTTCTCTTAAATCCATTCCAGACAGGGCCAACACAGGAGCAGAGATTTGAATCCTACTACAACTACTGCAACCTTTTCAATTACATTCTTAGTGAGTGTCATTCAGTTGTTTAAGGCTTGACTATGGAGTTAAAGTGAAATTATAATTTATAGTTCAGTAGATTTTTTCTGAAAATCTAAACACATATGTTCATTCTCCTTTAACAGAAATACTCATAACCTGTATATAAAAGATAAACTGTATTGCACCCCTCTGTTATGTGTCCAGGTGCAGAGAGCCCAGTGCCCCTAGAGCTACCTAACCAGTGGCTGTGGGACATCATTGATGAGTTTATCTACCAGGTGGGTTGTGTGGAACGCATTTAACTTGATTTAATAAAACAGTTGGTGTGAGTCACAAAGACAAAGATAATGTTTATATTTCAGTAGGCTAGTTTATATTTCAATAGGCTTCCCTGATAAAGATGTTCTGCTAGACATTGAAATATTGGAGGTAAAAAACTATCTCAATATTAGCTGTTGACTGAAGAAAAATTACTTCATTCTTGCTAAGGGGGTAGTTTTAACCTCATTAGGAGTTGCTAACAAAGGTTTTAAAATATGTATAGATGCTTTGAACAGTTTCAGTAATTATTATTAATTGAAAGACAATGTCATAATATAAATAGATATTTGATATTTTATAGTTAACATGTATGTACTAGAATTTTAATTGATGCCCAATGTTGTCTTCCAGTTCCAGTCATTTAGTCAGTACAGGTGCAAACTTGGCAAGAAGTCTGAGGATGAGGTGGAGCATTTGAGGAGGAACCCTAAGGTAAGTCTGAGGATGAGGTGGAGCATTTGAGGAGGAATCCCAAGGTAAGTCTGAGGATGAGGTGGAGCATTTGAGGAGGAACCCTAAGGTAAGTCTGAGGATGAGGTGGAGCATTTGAGGAGGAATCCCAAGGTATATTGTCTATTGATGTATAAAGTCTGCTTCTTGTGCCCTTTTAAGTTTTCAATGCATGCTAGTTACGAAAATTGTTGTCACATTATCAGGACATAGGTACTTCATTTTTTTGTGTGTAAAAATGAACAATGGCTTGATTTAGATTACATATTTTATTTTTATCAAATGTTGGCATAGGAAAAAATATATAACTTGGTATTTACAACATTGGCAATTTCTTAGTACATTTCAAGCATCCTTCTTCCAATTTCCAAACAGTATGAAATTCATTTTGAAGATCTTTTATTATCTTAGTTGGCTCTAGTTTTGATGAGGAAGAGCACTTCCTAAAAGATTAATTTTTTATCAGTCAGAATAATTTCATTGCTTGAAAAAGATGTTACAAATCTTTGAGGATATAAGCAGTTTACAAAAAAAAAAAATTTTTTTATAACCAATTTCTTGTCATATTTGCAGCAAAACTACATTGCCACCTCTGTGCATATTTCTAGAGTGTTGATATTCATAATGTTTTATTTCAGATCTGGAACGTGCACTCTGTTCTCAACGTCCTCCACTCTCTGGTGGACAAGTCCAATATAAACAGACAGCTGGAAGTCTATACCAGTGGAGGTGAGGAGATTGGATACTTTGTAAATGAAAACTATCAATCACAAGCTGTAATATTTTCATATCATTAGCTTACGGCCAACCTTGATGTAGGCCTTCATCAGACTATTGTGAGTAGATGTTATAAATGTCAGGTAATGTAAGCTGACGGTACAAAAATATTTCAGCTAGTGTTTGATAATTTTCATTTATGATCCATCTACCAAGCTAATGAACTTTTTTGCTCAGATTTGATACTTGTTCGAGAAATATGTGAGACAAAGGGAGACCTTAATCTTGAACATTTCGTGTTCTCTTCTTACGTTATATTTTTTTGGCTATACTTTATTCTTTGATTAGATTAAAGATAAATAGATTAAAAATAAGATTAATAAGATTAAATATAAATAGGGACTTGTTTATCACATACTCTGACATGTCCGGTATATTTATCCCACTAATAGGAGACCCGGACAGTGTGGCGGGGGAGTTTGGTCGCCACTCTCTGTACAAGATGCTGGGTTACTTCAGTCTGATTGGGCTGCTGAGGCTTCACTCTCTCCTGGGTGACTACTACCAGGCCCTTAAAGTACTGGAGAATATTGACTTCAATAAGAAGGTTTGTAGGAAATTGAATGCTGTGTATCGTCACAGGTGAAGGGGTTGTTTGTACTGCTCACTATCATTGTTATTCTCCCATGAAGTGTTTGCTGCTAGTGTGTACTGGTATAATATGTTCTACTGTGCAGACATGAGCTTCTTCCGTGGAAACACGGAATTTTGCATTTTTAAATTCAATTCTCGTGGTTCCTGAGGTAAGTCTTGTTTGAGATTCAATAAATGTTCAGAGGTTTTTTTTTTAACCTAGACTCATCTCAGATGGTGTGAGAAG